TTCTTGAGGGGTTTCATGTAGAAGGGATGTTGGACTTTTATCAAATGCTTTTCCTGCATCCACAGAGATGATCCTGGGGTTCTTTTCCTTTGCTCTATTGATGTGGTATATTACACAGATTGTTTTTCTAATGTTGAACTATCTCTGCATTTCTGGAATAAAACCCACTTGGTTATGATGTATGACTCTTTTAATATACTTTTGGATTCTGTTTGCTAGTATTTTGTTGGTGTGTTTTTTTTTTTAAATCTGTATTTATAACAGATATTGGATGTAGTTTTCTTTGCTTGTGCTATCTTTGTCTCACTTTGGTATCAGGGTTATATTTGCTTCATAGAATAAATTGAGGGGGTATTCCTTCCTTCCCTATCTTTTGAAGAGTTTAAACAGGGTTGGTGTCATTCGTTCTCTAAATGTTTGGTGGAATTCCCCAGTGAAGCCATCTGGTCCAGGATTTTTATTTTGTTGGGAGATTTTTTGTTTTGTTTTAATCACTGATTTGATCTCTTCACTTTTTATGAGACTGTTGAGACTTTCTATTTCCTCTTGAGTTAGTTTTGTAGGTTGTGTGCTTCTGACAATTTGACCATTACATCTAGGCTATTCAGTTTATTGCTGTATAATTGTTCATAATATTCTGTCATAATTCTGTTTATTTCTTTTAGGTCAGTTGTAACATCTCCTCTTTCATTTCTTGTTTTGGTTATTTGCATCTTTTCCCCTTTTTTTGTCAGTTTAGTTAAAAGTTTGTCAATTGTATTTATCTTTTCAAAGAACCAACTTCTGGTTATGTTTCTCTGTATTGTTTATCTGCTTACAATTTTATTTATTTATGCTCTGATCTTTATTTCTTCAGGCAGGTTTAGACTTGGTTTTCTCTTCTCTTTATAGTTCTTCAGTTTGTGGAGTTAGGCTGTTGGTTTTAGATTTCTCTTCTTTTTTTCATGTAGGCCTTTGTCATGGATTGAATTGTGTCCCCCAAAATATGTGTCAACTTGGCTAGGCTGTGATTCTCAGTATTGTGTGGCTGTCCTCTATTTTGTGATCTGATGTAATGATCTTTCATTTTGTGGTATGATGTAAACCCTAACCTCTGCCTATGGTTAGTGAGGTAGGATTAGGTTATGTTAAAGAGGACGAGGTTATGTGTGTTATGTTAATCAGGGAGGACTAGGGTAGAATGTGTCACCCTTACTGAAGTGACCACTCTTACGTCAGATTACAGCTGTGTAAGGGGAGTTTCCCTGGGGAGATAGTCTGTATCACCTTTATTTTACAAGAGATAAGAGGAGAGAGCAAGCAGAGAAAGAGGGACCTCAGTGCCACCAAGAAAGAAGAGCTGCTGGGAGCAGAGCCCATCCTTGGGACCTGGGATCTATGTGCTGAGAACCTCCTCAACCAGGAGAAGATTGACGCCAAGACATACGGGCACCTCCAGGAGACGCCCAGGCCACAGATGGTGAATGGAGACAAGGACCTTTCCCTAGAGCTCATGCCCTGAATTTGTACTTCTAACCTTCTAAAGGGTGAGGGAATAAACTTGTTTGTTAAAGTCATCAACTTGTGGTATTTCTGTTACAGCAGCATGAGATAACTAGGACAGCATTCTTCTGACATTTTGTTGCTTGTTGTGTGTGTGTGAAGCCTTCTTAGTTTTTGTCTTTACTACTCCTGCTTTAGTGTATTGTTGGTTTATTGCAGTGAGTCATTTTAGTTCCCTTCTCCTTTCTTTTCACTCGTGTTTTTAGATATTTTCTTAGCGGTTACCATGAATGTTACATTTAACAGTGTGTATTTATAACAGGTACTTCAGTAGCATACAAGAAATTCTATATCTACGCCATTCATCTTCCCTCCTTTTTGTTGTTTTGTTATCACTAATTATGTCTTTATATTTTACATGCCTTGTGACATAATTTTATCCTTGCTCATTATACATTTGTCATTAAAAAGCATGAAGGACTAAATGATTAGAATTATGAACCGTGAATACTTAATTACTAGCCCTTATACTTGTGCTGATGAACTGATTGACTGATTAACAATCTGCAATATGCAGATGACACAATCTTGCTTGCTGAAAATGAATAAAACTTGAAGCACTTACTGGTGAAGATCAAAGACTACTGCCTTCGGTATGGATTACACCTCAACATAAAGAAAACAAACATCGTCACAACCGATAAGCAACATCATGATAAATGGAGAAAAGATTGAAACCGTCCGGATTTCATTTTACTTGGATCCACAACCAACACCCATGGAAGCAACAGTCAAGAAATCAGACGACACATTGTGCTGGGCAAATCTGTTGCAAAAGATCTCATTAAGGTGTTGAAGAGCAAAGATGTAACCTTTGGCCACACCATAGTATTTTCAGTTGCCTCATATGCATGTGAAAGCTGGGCAGTAGAAGATTGAAGAAGAATTGATGCATTTTAATGTGTTGGCAAAGAGAACTGAAAATACCATGGACTGTCAGAAGAAGGAAGAAATCTGTCTCAGAAGCCATCGGAAAGCATGAACCAGAATGCTCCTTAGAAGCAATAATGGCCAGACTTCGCCTCACATACTTTGTTCATGCTGTCAGAGGGGCCAGTCACCAGAAAAGGATATCATGCTTGGTGAAGTAGAGGGTCAGTGAAAATGGGGAAGACCCTCAATGAGATGGATTGATAGAGCGGCTGCAATGAGGACTCAACAGCAGAGATTGTGAGGATGAGAGGATGGGGCACTGTGTCATTGTGTTGAACTAATGATCCCTGTGAGCTGGAACTGACTTGATGGCACCTAACGACGACGACATCCTTGTTCATACAGTTGCTTTTGTTAGGGGTCTTTCTCCTAATTTATGGCTTGGAATTTCTTTCTAATGTCTCTTCCTTCCATTGGTAGAATTTCTATTAGTATTGTTTTTGTGTGGTGGTCTGGTGAATATGAATTCTCTCAGTTTGTTTGGGAATGTTTTGATTTTACCCTCATTCTTGAAGGACAATTTAACTGGGTATAATATTCTCAGTTGACAGTTTTTCTTTTTTTTCTTTCCCTTTCATTACTTTAAATGTATCACTTCATTGCCTTCTGGCCTCCGATGTGTCTGAGAAGGAATCGACACAATATTATTGGAGATCTTTTATGTGTGATGTTTGCTTCCTTCTCACTGCTTTCAGAATTCTCTCTTGATCCTTGCTTTTTAAAAAAATATGTATTTTTTAATTAAAATATACACAGCAAAACCCCTTCCCATTCCAAGGTTTGTAGACATAATGATCAGTGGCATTGGTTACATTCGTCAGACTGTGCCAGCATTCTTGTTATTTCTGTTCTAGTGTTTCGTTTCCATTTTCTTAATCCCCCTACCCCCTCAGCCTTCTCATGTCTGGTTTAAGATAACTGTTGACCCTTTAAGGTAACACAATACAAGGGTGACAATCTTTACTTTTGCAGCTAAACTGTTACTTACTTTAAAGTGATTTCAGGGGATAGTGTCTATTCAAGGTGTGAATAGCAATTCAGGGCCATAGTCTGGGGACTCCTCCAGACTCAATAGGTCTAGTAAGCCTGAATTCTTCAAGAATTTGAAGTTCTGTTCCACGATTTTCTACCTTTTTATTAGAATTCCTGTTAGGCTCCTGACCAGAATGTTCTGTGGTGGTAGCCAGGCACCCTGTAGGTCTTCTGGTCTCAAGGTGGAGGGAGCAGTGGTTCATGCAGGCAATTAGTCCTGTAGTCTAGTTCCTTCTCTGATTCTTGGGTTTCCTTATTTCTCTTTTGTTCCAGACAACTGAAGGCCAGTAGTTGTATCTTACTTTATCTTTACTTCTTGAGAGCCCGACTATGATGTGTCTTGGTGTAGATCTCTTTGAGTTTATCTTGCTTGGAGTTCTGTGAGCTTCTTGAATTTGTATTTTCATGTTTTTCATCAGATGGGTGAAATTTTCTGTCATTATTTCTTCAAATATTTCTGTCCCTATTTCTTGCTCCCTTCTTCCAGAATCCCACGATGTGCACATTAGGCCTCTCCATACTGTCTCACAATTCCTTTAATCTGTGTTCGGGCTTCTCAAGCCTCTGTTTGTGTTGATCTGCAGCCTTCATAATCTCAATGATTTTACCTCCAGTCTGTGAGTCTTTCTTCTACTTGATGAAATCTGTTGTTAAATCCTTCCATTGTGTTTCTCATTCCCATGATTGTCCCTTTCACTTGCAATGTTTCTGTTTGGTTTCTTTTTATCTCGTGTTAAGCTTTCATTTCGTTCTTGTATTGTTTCCCTTATTTCTTTTAGGTCTTTGTCTGTGTTTCCCCTTAACTCTTTAATTATGTTTAACATTTTTGTATTCTATTCTCCCATTCTTTTCATTGTTTGATCTTCTATAGATGTGCCTTCACTCTCTTCATCACGTTCATTTCAATGGGCCATTGTTTCCTTTTCTTTACGTGTGTTGTGATCTTTTGTTGGGCCACTGAATTTTTTGACTTTCTCAGTTCTCAGTATTTGGTGTTTTGCCCACACTACTTTCTGCAGAAAACTCTTAGGTGGGCTGAACCTTCAGCTTTTACTTACCATTTCTTCTCCCTCTCTGTGATAACTTCTTCTCCCTCCCTAAGTTAAAAAAGGTTTGAAAGTTTCAGATCTCAGTTCTCAACTTTCAATCTCTCCCAGACACACCAAAGAACACCCTGTGGTCTGTCCACCAGCAGACACTGCCGCTCCCGTAAGATGTTGTACACTAATCAATCTTTCCACCAGGGGGTGCAATCCCTCTCTGTTTATTATTCCCTTCCCTTTGTTTTTGCAACCACGTTTTCAGTCAGAGATTTCACACCTAGCGAACCCCTCTGGGGCCTGGGTGTTGCTCTCAGGTTTCCTTGCTCTGTGGAGGCTGCTTGTATCTGAGCTGGCATTCAGGGGAAGCACAGGCCAACTCTCCTCCATTTCAGGAAGAAGAGGAGCTGGCATTTCCCGAAAGAACCTCTGAGAGACCTGTCTTGGTTTCAGAGCCCCAATGGCCCTGTGGTGGTTGGGGGAGTTGTCTTCACCCAGGTGTCCCAACTTCTGGCTTCGCTGTAGGGAACCTTCTGTAGGAGTTTGTATCAGTCCAGTAGCTAACTGTGACCAGGTGGTGGAGGGGCTGTCACTCTCTGCATGGACCCCTAGGGAGGTCTACCTTGTTGCTCCCAGATCCTCCTTTCCCCTAGTAGTGTGTTGGTTGTGGGTGTAGCCTCTGCTCTAAACATCTATTTCCTAACACACAACAACCTGTCAGCAGTCCTCAGTGCCACTGGAAAGGGGAACAGATAGACCTGAAATGACCCCCGGGGAAGTCTGTTCTGTTGGTTGCAGAGGTCTGAGCTGTGAGGTGTGCAGAAGCAGGTAGAGTGCTGACTATGGGAGCAGCCTTCCATTGCAAGGTGCCTTCTGTAGCAATTCAAGGAAGCTTTGCAGCAAATCATAACTGGGTACGGGAAGGGCTGCATGCTCCTAACAGACCCCCAGGGACGTCTGCCTGTTGCTATCAGAATACTCCCCTCCTCTGAGTATTTTGGCTGTAGGTGTGGCCTCCACTATGTGCATTAGTTTTTTATTGCTGCCATAACAAATTTCCACAAAGTTATCAGCTTAACACAACACACGTTTATTATCTCACAGTTCCATAGTTCAGAAGTGTAGGTTGGATTGGCTAGTTTCTCTGTCTAGGTTTCACAAGGTCAAAATCAAGGTGTTGGCTGCCTGGGCTCTTATTGGAAGGCTCCGGAAAAAGTTGCTTCCAAGCTCATTCAGGTCGTGGGCAGAATTCTGTTCCTCAATTGGAGGGCTAAAGTCCCATTTCCTGCCTGTCAGCAGGGGGCTGTCTTTAGCTGCTAGAGGCTTCTCTCTGATCCTTGCAATTGTTGTTGTTATGTGCCCTCCAGTTGCACCCAACTCATAGCGACTCCTCCTTGGGTTTCCCAGGCTATATCCCTACAGAAGTAGATAGCCCAACCTTCCTTCTGAGGAGTAGCTGGTGGGTTTGAACCACCAGCCTCCTGGTTAGCAGGGCCCCTACATCTCAGAGCCAGCAGCATGATAAATCCTTCTCAGCCTTGGAATCTCTCTGACTTCTCCTTCTGCCACATTTTTCTTCTGCCTCCAACAGGAGATAGTTTTCTGCCTTTGAGGGGCTCATGTAATTAGATGAGGCCCACCCAGATAATCCAGGATCCCTATTTTAAAGTTTTAATTACATCTTATTTTTTTTAACATTTAATTATGTCTATTTTAATTAATTTACATGTGTCCCTTTGCTATGTAAGGGAGCTCTGGTAGCATAGTGGCTAAGACACTTGCCTGCTAACCAGACGGCTGGCGGTTCAAACCCACCAGCCACTCCTCGGAAGGAAGGTTGGGCAATCCTACTTCCGTAGTGATACTGCCTCGGAAACCCAAGGAGGGGTCGCTATGAGTTGGGTTTGACTCGACGGCACATAACAACATAACAACAATTGCTATGTAATGTAAGATATTCACAGACTCCAGGCATAAGGGTATAGCTGTCTTTGGGGAGCCATTATTTGGCCTACCCCCATGTATGTATGATTGTATGTTGTTGTCTGTGTGTAATTGTTTATATGTGATTGTGTATGTGTCTGGCACCTGAGGGTATGTGAGTGGATCACTTGGAATGCATCCTAAGTGAAATAATATTTAACTAAAAATGCCTAATCAGAGAGCATTTATTATCATGCATGATGAGAATCCAGAGGCACAAGATGGCGGTCTCCATTTAAAGCTGTGCTGTCTGCTATGGTGGCCACGGCCATGCAGCCACTGATCCCTAGACACGTGACCAGTACCAACGGAGCTGTGCTGTACTGGTCAAATACCCCAGGTTTTGAAGAATTACTGCAGAAAAAGAAGGTGAAATACCTCATTAATAATTTTACTTTGATTATATGCTAAAATGAGAATATTTTTATATTGTTGTTGTTGTTATATGCCATCGAGTTGGCCCCGACTCATAGTGACCCCTCCTTGGGTTTCCGAGGCAGTATCACTATGAAAGTAGATTGCTCAACCTTCTTTCCGAGGAGTTGCTGATGGATTTGAACCGCCAGCCTTCTGGTTAGCAGTCAAGTGTCTTAGGCACTATGCTACCAGAGCTCCTTATTTTTATATTAGTTTAAATAAAATATATTTTTAAATTAATTTCATACTTCTAAAAAGTCAAAACTTTTAAAATGTGATTACTAGAAAATTTGCAATTATATACGTGACTCACATTTGTTGCTCACATACTATATATATTAGACAGTTGCCAAAGGGGCAACATCTCCTGACCCCCTCTAACCCCACAAGAAGAAGACAGAGTCACCATCAGTAGCCCAAGGCCTATTCCACCTCTTTGCTGGGTTCAGTAATTTTCTACAATGGCCACACAGAACTCACAGATTATGGGGTTTATTAGGGAAGCAACTGGTAGCATAGTGGCTAAGACACTTGCCTGCTAACCAGATGGCTGGCGGTTCAAACCCACCTGCCACTCCTCGGAAGGAAGGTTGGGCAATCCTACTTCCGTAGTGATACTGCCTCGGAAACCCAAGGAGGGGTCGCTATGAGTCGGGGCCAACTCGACGGCACATAACAACAACAACAACAGGGAAGCAACAGGCTACAATTCAAGTTCAGGAACACTCTCAGTGTCTCTCAGTCTTCTGTCTCTCAGCCAACAGTCTCTCTCAGTCTCTCTCCCAGCTGTGTGTGTGTCTCTCTCTCTCAGCAGTGCATGTATCTCAGCCAGCAGTGAGAGATTCCTTCTGCCTCTAGGAGGGCTCCTTTTGAGCCTGGCAGAGTGGCCCAAACCAACCAATCTCAACATCAGAGTTCTGCACACCCAAGAGAGCAAACTTCCCAGAAGATTGCTTCGTGCTGCTCCCAACAGAAGTACCCCAGGTGGATAACTTTAATAATCAGGAGCTACTCAGGTGCCCACAGAAAATCCCACCACAGAGCTTACAAAGACTTATGGCTAGGAAAGCCACACTATGTAATTTACTACAGTGCAGCAGTGCTGGTTTAGAGGACATGACGTCAGGGTGGATCCAGGTTCTTTCCATCTGGCTGATCCACTATCCTTAGTATTCCAGTGCTGTCCCCCCTCATGATTATAATATGGCTGCTGCAGCTCCAACCATCACCTAATCACCTAATTGTCTCCAAAGCGGCAGGCTCCGACTAGCTGTCACTATATCCATTCTCCTCTTCTTTCTGTACTTATAGAACCTATGAGTCGTAAGCAGGTTCAAGGGTGCTCTACTGAAGACTACATTTCTTAGCCTACCTTGCATCTAAGACACTCAATCCTAGCCAATACATAAACATGAAAGTGACTTGGGCACTGTGCAGGTTGCTCTTTCAAGGGGATGGGGAAGTTCTCACCTTCTCCTTTCCTCTCTGTTGATAAATGGCAGAAATGGGAGCAGCCATCTTATTTTGCCTTCCATTTTCTAGGTTATTTTCAGTGTGTGGTGAAATGAGTTCCTTCATGTGGCCTTTTGCCTTGGTTCCTCAGTGTTCTGGTTCCACAGTGCCGCTCTGACAAGAATATACCAGAAATGGGATGGCCTTAACAAACAGGAGTTTATTCTCTTACAGTTTGGAGGCTTTAAGTCCAAGTTCAACATGCCAGGCTCTAGGAGTTGAGTGAAAGCCCCTCAACCTTGGGGTCCAGCTCTGCCTCCTGCTCCCGGCCCACTGGAGCTAGAGGCGTTTCTTCACTCTGACAGCTGCTGGCTGCTGAGCCTGGAAGCCCCAAGGTTGACAAGGAAAAAGGCAGAATCCCGATGTTACCAAACCACACAGCAGGCCATTAATTCAAGCCCATTGTAAGTCCCAAGGTCAGCAGAGCATGGCAGGCTGCTGAACAATGACACAGCTACATGCAGGGTCCAAGCGTGCCATAGGATAGGGACCATTCCCAAGGCTTCTCCTTATATCCAGGAAGCAGACCACATTCCCAAAGGCAGCTACTCAGCTGCTTGTGGTAGATCCCACCATGGAGTTGATTGCCAGTCTCATCATGGGAAATAACTACTGCCAGCTGCCCAGCCACTCAACCAGGCCCAGCCAAGTTGACACACAGACATAACCACCACATTCAGAAAAATACTTTGAGAGGTTTTCCCCCTTAAACCCTGAGGAGTTACCTTTGCACTAGTTTTCTCCTCCAGAAGGTTTGTTACTTCTACATGCTTCCTGATCGAGATCCCAAGTGGTAGCCTATTGATCCTGAACTCAAATTGTACCCTGTTACTTTCTTAATAAACCATTTCTCTGTAAGTATGATCTGTGAACTCTGTGTGGTCATTGCAATGGATTATCCAACACAGAAGAAAAGTAGAGAGTGCTATGTGAAGGACGACTGGGCTCAGATTTGGCAAAAAGGTTGGAAGGAGGAGGGAGGTATGACTGACCTGCACCTCATGGGACTCAGCTTTGGGCCGACTCTGGTCATTGTCCCCCCTGAAGGCAGGAAGGTTCTGATGCTCCTCCTCCACCCGTTTACACAGTGGAGATAGAGTTCTGTGTTGACGGCTTCTTTTTTCTTCCAGTAAATTCAAGATTCCAGGGGAACTTACATCAAGACTTGGATCATCCCCCTGGGGCTCCCTCTGTTGCGATTTCTCCTCTCAGCTTCCCGCTGGTCTGCAGCCTGAACTCCACCTCTGCCCCTCGGAGGTTTTCTGCTGGAGTTCGGGCAGCTCTTCCCATGCAGACCGGGATGTGTCTTCAAGAGAAAAGCAGTTTCAGCTCATATCTCACACAGTACGTTCCATTCTTTAAAAGGCTAAATCCCCGCCAGTTGCTGTCTGCTGCTGGTGCTGTCCATTACTTCAAACAGTTGTTTTTTTAAAAATATTTTGCCTAGCGTCGGTCAGTGTTGTCCCCAGGAAGGTTAATCAATAACCTCTTATCTGTCTCTGTCTCACTTTCCTCTCTCTCTCCTGTTCCGCCTCAGCTGAGTGGTTCTCATCTGAGGTCTCTCCTGTGGTTGTGGTCAGATGTCAGCTGGGGCTTGATGGATCTGAGGGCTT